AGAAATTATGAAGATTTCTTTCCACAAAAAACGTTAGAACTTTAACAACAATAAACTAGTGGAGCCAACTAAAGATTTAACGATAGGTTTTAAAAAACCTTGTTCGAGATCTGATTAGATGTGGAGACATGAAAGGAATTAGGATAAATTCTTCTTTTGAATTGTTTCAAGAGTCAAATCAGAACATACATGGCTGATTTTCTGATCAATCTCTGCTGAGTTTAGCATATATATCTACATTCTGCAAAAATGACAGGTCCACGTTGTAAACATGATAGATTCTCTTTTCAACAAATGAAAGCTTTATCGGATTTCTACACAAGTTCCGGTAAGGACAGCTGGTGTTATCAAGTAAAATGGGGCAACAAGGTCGTAGTTCTGAGTATGGCTAGAGTCCCATAAATGAAACAGTTCTTTTGAAGGTAAAAGAATACACAAAGATACAAGTTGACTAAATGATTCTTCATAAATACAAGTCTGATAGCATAAGTTGCTATACTGTTTGAAGATAGCTTTGAAAAAGAAGAAGATCAAACTTTGGATTCAAGTTAAGATTGATGTATTCATACACTCATAAAAACATCATTTGCATAAAAGATCATGTATTACATTGATACATTTGATTGCATTTGCATAAATACATTTTTCACATGAAAATGAAAGGACAAATTACCTTGCAAATGTAAGGTAGGATCTAAATCTCAAATGAAGGAATCATGTTAGAAGAGGAAAACATCTGAAGAAAAGATGGACGCAATCCATAAAAGAAACATTAATTTTTGGGCATGCCCAAACCAACAAGTTGTCTTGAAAAATGAGAAAGCGATTTTCAACGTTTCTCATTCAATCTTTTCCAAAAATGAAATTTTTGAAAAGTAATAAGTCTCTTACCCAGTAAAATATTTCTCACAAATTTATAAATTCTTCAGGTCATCTGTAAGTCCTTCGAGCATGATGTTAAATCTTTCGGGTCATCTGTTAGTCTTTCGAGCAAGATGATAAGTCCTTAGGGTGCGTTCGGTTCACGTAATGAAAGATTACCAGTGGGAATGTAAGATTACCAGGGAAGAGGATTACTGGGAATGTTATATTTTGTGTTTTGTTGGCTTAGTAGGAATGTAAGATTACCGTATTTGGTTTAAAGAATAAAAGATTATTGAAATGTATATTTGACCAAATTATCCTTATTATATATCTGTTTTTTTAACAAGTTGGAAAATATTTATATAGTTTCTTTAAAAAAAATTAAATTCATAAAATTTATATAATTTTTTTTACAAAATTGAAAATATAAAAAGGTTTAATGAAAGGGTAAAATTTTATTTTAACCCCTGAACTTCATATAAAATTTTAATTATAGACTTTTTTGTAAATCTAAAATAGTTTAAGGATAAATTTATAATTTAACATTCGTAGAATTTTAATTATTTAATGACAAAAAAAGGATATTTAAAAAAAATTAAGGGCATTTTAGTCCAAACCCCTAGGAATCCAACAATACCTAACGAAATGAGGTAATGATATTCCCGGTAATATATCCCAAAAAATCCACTATTGGTAATCTTACATTATCGGGAATGAGATTCCCGAGATAACCAAACGGGGGAATGTGGATTCCATTCCCATGGGAATCCCACATTCCCCCATCCAAACACCCCCTTAGGGCCATCCGTCAAACCTTTGGGTAGGATGTTTACATATGATTTTCGCATGAAAATGAGATAGCGATTTTCAAAGTTTCTCATTTAATGTTCTAGAAAAATGAAAGTTTTGAAAAGTAAGAAGTTTCTTACTCAGTAAATTATTTATCACGAATTTATAAATCCTTCGGGTCATCTGTAAGTCCTTCGAGCATGATGTTTAAATCCTTCGGGTCATCTGTCAGTCTTTCGAGCAAGATGATAAGTCCTTAGGGCCATCCGTCAAACCTTTGGGTAGGATGTTTACATATGATTTTCGCATGAAAATGATATAGCAATTTTCAAAGTTTCTCATTTAATGTTCTAGAAAAATGAAATTTTTGAAAAGTAAAAAGTCTCTTACTTAGTAAATTATTTATCACGAATTTGTAAATCCTTCGGGTCATCTGTAAGTCTTTTGAGCATGATGTTTAAATCTTTCGAGTCATTTGTCAGTCTTTCGAGCAAGATGATAAGTCCTTAGGTCCATCCGTCAGACCTTTGGGCAGGATGTTTACACTCTTTAATTCCAGTCTCCACGGAAGAGTAGTGGAATGGATTTTTATCAAAATTTGTAGTCAACTAGACAAAAACTTATTACCTTTTTATCTTTGCTTTATTCTAGTTTACACAAAAGTAAGTAAATATGGGCAGCTGTCGACACTAGCTTTTGTCCGTTGTTATTATTAATTATATTATTATTATTATTTTATGTATTTATTATATATTATATATTATTATATTTACAAATATTACAAAAACCAAGGCCCAAATATAAAATAACCTGGGGTCAAATATTATAAATATAACCCAGAACCCATTTACAGATGTTGACCCGATCCAGACCCGAGCATCAGATCCAGAACCTGGTTTAGGCCCATAATCGGCCAGAACCAGTCCAACCTGAGAAGCCCAGATGACCCAAACACGTTTAAGGTTTCATCTCAGCTTCTCCAGCGTCGTTCTCTATCAACTGATCGATCAAAGGAGATGAAGGGCCCATGTTTCCATCAGCTTGTGTTTTCACCCTAGAAGCCGCTGCCTCCAATTCCAAACACCGCCGCTGTCACCATTAAATCTGACCCGAATCCAGTAGAACACTCCAGAAGAGTAACAAGGGCCGCACAACGCATCATCTCTAGGATGAGTCACCATCGTAGGTTCGATGACTCACCAAAAAGTTATCATTGCAGCTAAGTTCTGAAGCCTATAAAAGGCGACCATCACTTGCAAAGGAAACCGACAGACACAGTAAGAATGATGAACACAAGAGAAAACACCCACACAACAGAGAGCAAGCAAGAAAGCTACGAGAAACAGGGAGATTACCACAGCGATCCACCACCAGTAAAGCAAAATAGAGAAGAAGGAACTTACCCAGCCACCGGAGCTTCCATGTGATTGATGAGATTCGAAACGCCGAAGGTAAAAATCTAGATCTAGGTTGATTCGGGGTTTTTTAGGAAAAAGTAAGCTCGGATTTGGGTAGAGGATGTTCCGATCTACATTTTGGTTGATTTTTGTATTTTTCGAACACCGTAGGTGGTGGCCGGCGGTGGCAGAATACGGCAGCGTAAGGCTGCCAACCGATGGTAGCTATCCCTCATGCGAGGGATTATTAGAGAGAGTTCAAAGTTTCTCTCTCCTTTGGGAGAGAAACAAAACGAAGAAATGAGAGAAATGTCTCTCTTTGGGTCGGATTTTGGCTATATAAACCCTCCCCGAACGATGTTGTTTTAAGGGAGGGGCTTCTGGGTAATTAAGCAACAGGTAAATCACACGCATGGTCTCTTAAGCTTTGTAATCTTCCATTATAGTCACCGAAATCAGGTTTTGTACCTTTTAATTTTCTCATCTTATTTTATTTATATTTTAGTCCCTAATTATAATTTAAGGTAAATTATATAATTAATACGTTACTTTAATATTATTTCAAATTAGGATTAATTAATTAATACTTTATGTTTAATCATTAATTATTAGTATATAATTAATTATTATTAGAATTTATATTTTAGGATTATCATCATTGATAATTTAATTATAATATAATATTATAAGACTAGAAATATATTTATTAAATATTATTTAGTATTTACTTATATTAAATTAGTTGTAAATTATTTACACAAATTTATAATTTATTGCAAAAACAAATTAATTAATAAATACTGGTACCAATTTTGGGCGTTATGAGGGTACTAATCCTTTCTCATACGTAACCGACTCCCGAATTCATTTTTTGGTAAGCAGACCCGAGTTGTATTCTTTTAATATTATTCTTAGGAATTTTATTAGAATAATATGACATTTTGGTGACCAATCTCACCAAATTAAAAGATTGGTGACGACTCTACAACTTGGTGTTTCATCTAATTCATGGAAGATAAACATTTACTTTTTCGAGACTAGTTACACCCTTTGGGGTGTACTATTTACACTCTCCGTCACCAGATAGAGAAACGTCTAGACAAGGATAACTTCATCGCATCAATTGAAAACACTTAGCCTTGAATCTAAATCATGCACCTATGATACACTTAGTGTACCAACACGTCTTTCATAGGTTTTTTATCGACTAAAAAACTTTAAATGTTAAACCTCTAATACTAAATAATATTTGAGAGACTATATTAGTGAGACTTTGAGTCTCATCCATCACATACCCTATATTTAGTGGCCCGTGAGAGAAAACCTTTTATAAGAGGGCAAGGCAAGGGATTTTTCCTGTGATCTCCAAATATTCTCTTTTTTTTCCTCTATGACCATCAATTAAAAATTGTCTTCATTATGCGTAATTCTTTATTCTAATTAATTGAAGTGACACGAACTAAACAATTTCGATAGTAGAAAAATTGTTATTATTCTTTGATGTCACAAGTTCGAACACCATAAATGCTACAGGTGTGAGTGTTTAATGTCAAATTGTTGAGAGTTATCTTTAAACATGTACTGCCTTGTACTTACCCCAGATTAATAAAAAAATAATCGAAGTGAAATATCATCACTTACCGACTCTCACAGTCCTGATTTATCCTGGAACCGGTACCCTAAGAAATTAAAGCCCTGGAATCATAATAGAGAATGCTATCATAGACGTTGAATGTTAGTGGTAAAAATATTTGGAGAAGACCTCGTTAAAAGGAACAACCATAAATTCCGAACATAAACAATAAAACAAACATGGTATAATAATAATAATAATAATAATAAAGAATACTATCGAAGTTATAAAATAATTAGTGTTGAACATGAGTATCATTTGGCTTAATCACATGCAATTCAAATCAAATCTTCTTGGAAAAGTACTGAAGATTTGAATTCGGTAAGTTGTGGCAAATAATATTAAACCAAAGACATAATAACTTGGAAGATGGATTGTAGGCATACATAATATTAAACTTCCTAAGTACAACATAAAAGCAAAGTAAAGGATGAAAGGAAGTCCTAAGTACAACATAAAAGCTAGCTGTTTTTACCTCTAAAATTTACAGCCATTACCATCTGTTTGGAGGTCCAACCAAAAGGTTCTGCTGGATTTTGCCACGACCAAGAAGCAACTTCAAGCACTGTACTAGCTTCCAGATGTCTTCTTTCCTAAAATTGTACTTCCATGACCCTTTTGAAGATAAGATGTAGCATAGATCAGGGAAACACGTTCATTGGATTTGACTTTATTTTTGGTTTTACAATATAGAAGCAAAGCAAATGCTGCCCATAAAAGATACAGAAAGATCACTCTTCAACGACATTAACCAGCTCATACTCAATTAGTGACAGATTGTTATCTTCTTTCACGGTGAAACTTGCAGGTTCTGCAACCTCAACACGACCCCACTTGTCCACTGCAAGCCTCATTGATCCTTTAAACATGTCTATTTTAGCATTGCGAAGTGTAACAGTAGTCCCCTCTTTCACCAAGTCCACTACAAAATAAAGATTTTCTTAGGTCTAAGAAACAGTGTAATCTTCCAAAAAATAAAGCATGTATATTGCCTTCCCTGTCTAACGACACCATCTAATCTAATGATTAATATCACATCAACATAATCTTGAAATGATTGAAGAAATATATTTATAATCAGTATCCAGTGCGATCTCATATAAATGAGACATCAATGCCATACTGGTTAATTTGGTTACCACAAGTGCTAAGTTTCTTTAATAGCCTGGTCAGCAATTCTAAACCATTCGAGCACCCATTACAAAGAATGCAAGTAATCGTCTTAATACTAGAATTTGTTTCATTTCAATTCATAGTTAACGGTGGAAGGCTAAGATAACGTACAGTAATTGAATAATCATTATGTACTGAAAGCATTCCGTTGTTAAATTCAAAAACTTAGATGATACACTTAGATTATACTTCAGAAGTTTAATATTATATATGCCCACAATTCATCTTCCAAGTTATGATGTCTTCAGTTTACTATTATTTGCCAAAGCTAGCTAGCAAAACACAGATCTGGACACATAATTTTTACTAGCCATGATATGAACACTCAATTTATACCACCCTAAGGTAGGCTTTTTCAGATAAAGTGTGATTAAGGAATCTTCACTACTTTTCCAACAGAAAATATAATCACATCATATGCAACCAGACGTTGCAGTGATTTTCTAAAAGAAAAAAGAGAACTCAATACAAAAACGAGTGACAAAAATTAGTCTGAAAGATAAAACCAAACCAAACTATTGCCCACTTTAAACCGGCATCCAGAGAAGAATATACCTTGTTCGTTTCTAGCCGTAAAGATAATCATTCCTGTCTCATCTCCTACCAAGCATTCAGCAATTCGCATTTGATGAACTTGAGGACCATCAGCACGACCCTTCTGCAATACCATCTTTGTGCTGACAACCTTGACAGTAAGAGTGTGACCACTAGTGCCAGGGCGAAGTTGGCCCACCTTGGTGTAAACAGGTTTCCTCAATGACTTTGATTCGGCCATTTCAATACCTTCAGAAAGAAAACAGAAATAGATCAAGAAAACCAGCTTCGACCAAACAAATTGCAACACACACAATAAGCGTCCTAACCATGAGAGAAATCATAGCACATAATTCCACATTTAAAATGTTCTCAAATCTAAATAAAGTTAAAATGGCTTTATATATATATATATATATATATATATATATTTGATACTCCAATTGATGTTTATTCGTATCCAAACAGTTAGTTTTAACATCCAAAGGCAATAGTTTGATCAATGCAACATGAAATGCTATCTAACAAGAAACCATAACTCTAATCTTGATCAGTAATTTACTAATTTTAGATAGAACAGCAAATCCCTAACTTTCCCACGAATAATTACATTTTGATAGAAAAATTTAAAAACAGGAAAATCAGAGAATAACTTAAATCGAATCGAAAGAATCGGAGTCTGCAGATTTTCGTTTGTGGACATCTAACACAATGTTGACGAAAGATACTAAAATTTTCAAATGGAACACAAACGAGAAAGAAATGCAAATTGAAAAAGAACATAAACTCAAAATTAGAGAGTTAGAAGAATATAAATTTTCGATGTTACCAATGGAGATCTGAAAAGCGAAAGTGAAATGGAGGATTTCCCAGGAAGTTAAAAACCAAGACACATATTTAATTGTTTGTGAAGCAACAGCGCACTTAAATTCGGCCCAAGGCAGCCGTGGATTTCCTATTGGATTTGTAAACCTAACTCCGTATGACGGTGTCGTTTCAAATTTTTTTAATTTTTTATCGGCGTTCATTAAACTTGATTTTAGGGATATTATGATTTTTTAAATAAATTTTAAGTCAGAGTGATTTTATATATGGAGTGTATTTAGAGATGACAATTTAATTTGAAATTTATAAGTTTTGATTTAATTCAACCCAATTTGATAGAATTAGATTTTTTTTAAAAAAATTATATAGGGTTTGGGTCGAATTAGGTTCGGGTGGAGGATAAAAAATTCCGGCCTAACTCTACCCGAGAATAATAACATAATTTTCTTCAAAAAAATTTATTTTTTCGTTAAGTTCTTATTTTATATCATGTCGAATTGGGTTAGATTTATACTCTAAAAATTCTTATTAGATCAAAATCAAGCGGATGATATATATTTTTCGGATCACGTCAGATTGAGTGAAGAATATATAATTTTCGGATCGGATTAGATTTAGCTAGAAGATCCATATTTTTCGAGTGAAATCGAATTGACCAAAAACTTGATCCCAACCCATTGTCGCCCTATCTTTGATTCATGTTGTTGGAGTTTTGATTCGACTGAACTCAATAAATGTGAGATTTGAATTTTAATTTCGTTCATAAAATATAATATTATTTTTAAAATTAAAAATGTTAAAATATAACATTATTTAATATATATTTTTTAAATTAATCACTGATATCTGATCTATTGGCCGACTAATCCAGATCAAGTACTAGAGAGGTGAGGGCGACCCTCCCAATCCAGTTTGCTCCATTCGCAAACACCAAGATTCGGACATCTGACCTTACTTAAGATACATAGTGTCTATTATGTATTACTTGTTTGACATTAATATAATATATTTAAAGAAAACATAGAGTAATATTTGTTCTAAAACTCTTAATTATTTGATAATAAATATTTATGTGCTTTTATATTTATGGTTCTCTAATCCGAAATCTCAAAAATTAACAATAAATTCTTTAATCACAAAATTTATTTAGTTCGTAGAAATATGTTATACTAAACTTTATATAATTTTTAAAAGCATAAAAGTTTTTTAAAAAATATTTTCATTAAAAAATTAAAAATCATTTCTTGAATTTACTTTTCAGTAAATGGTATGACAAAAAATGCTAGAAGGTAATTAACGCATAAAATATTTCAAAATTCATAAAATTCATACAATTTTATGAAATATTTAAAAAATTAATAGTACGAGTTTTTTTTTTTAAATTGACACTAATGCATATAAGATTTCAATATAAATGTAATAAAGTTCATTTTTTATGCTTTAACCGAATTAACCGACCGAACCAAATTAGTTTGGTTAATTTGGTCAGTCATCGAATTAATTCAGTCGGAAAACAGTTAACATTTTTTCAATATTCGATTAATTCGATTTGAAATCGATTAATTAACCGAATTAATCAAAATTAACAAATATTAAATATATTATATATACTAAATACATATTTTAAGCTCAAACTCATTAAGAATTAAGACCCAAATATTTTTTAATCATAATAGACTCATTAAATTATTAGCACATAATTAAATTTTAACCCAAATAAAAAAAATCTTCCATTATAGTCAAATTAATCTAATTTTAAAAAAAAAAGTTTGTTTCGGTTAATGGTTAATTTGATTAATGGAAATTCGGTTCAATTGGTGGCCGAATTAACCGTTTGAATACAAAATTAAGTGTTCAGTTAATTTTTTATTTTTAAAGAATATTTTGTTAAGAATAGGTGTTTAATGTTTTTCCGTTACATTTTATATTATCTACATTTAAAAAATCATTAAATAACATGGTCACATTTTTATTTTTATATTTTAAAAAATATATACAATTTAAAAAAAATCTAAACATAACACATGTCACTTAATAATTTCTTTAATGATAGACAACAAAAAATGTAACAAAAAACGTTAGACATTAATTTTTAACTTTGTGTATAATTTTTTTGATAGAAACAAATAATTTTATTCAAAATAAGAAATATTCAAATTAAAATAAAGTTTTACAATTACAATAGTAAATTAAGCACATAATTAGGAAACTTTCTTATAATCATTTAAACAAAACTAGTAATTTAAGAGGACATAAGGACCATACAAAGAAATATTAAATCTAACCAAGAAACTCGAATAAAGATATATACAAAGAGATCTGATCGCATCGGCAAACAAGCCACAAAAAGAAATCAAGCTATTGAAAAAGCATTAACAAACTATAAATCAGACTCAAGCGACGTGAAAACTATCCACAGACGCAAATTGGGTATACAAATCCAATTCAAGGGTCCAAAGCATGGAAGACTACAAAATATCAGATAAGCGACATTTTGATCAGTCATGGCGATGTCAAATCAACCCTTAGAGAAAAAAACAGCCAAAGAACCGAACAACATGCCAAAAAACATAAGAAAATATGCCATAAAGGCAGATAAAAACGTACAACACATGCATACTTATTGGAAATAGAAAATTAAAAGAAAATAAAAATATGATATAGAAAAGGAAAAGAAAATAAATAATATCGACGGTCGACAACTAACATTAAAATTAATATCATCGTCAATTAACAAAGATGAAAAAGAAAATAAATAAACGACACACCAATAAGAAAACTTTTTTTAACTTTAAATATAATTTAAATATTCATTTTTATATTAAATCGAATGAATTTATGATTGCGTTATAATTTTCATAATTCAAAAACAGTGGTAATACTATACCAATCGAGCTGGGCTAGGTCATCCCTAAATCAATGAATCCTCGCATCCCAGTGCTTCAATTTCACATACAGGAGTTAGACTAGAGTCGTAATATATTATAGTTGATTCTATATATTTAGACGAACTAAGCTTAGAGATTTAAAAAATATATTTTTGTCCTTTGAAATGTTAGGTTCGAGCATTATATATAAGAGAATAAATATTCATGGTCGAAAGTCTTTGAATAATATTATATTGTATTCATCCCATATTAATAAAAAAATAATTTTATATAATTTTTAAAATAAAAGTTGAGCCAATCATTTAAGATGTTTTAGATTCAAATAATTTCAAATTCAAAACTGGATTAGACACACAGATTCAAGCCTTTTTCTTGATTTGAACATAAATTATCAATGTGAAGAGGTGAAAAAACTAGCCTCTGGACTCTTAATTGATAAACTAATGGGGATGGAATTACCCATAATTATCTACTATTTCCTTCTCAGAAATGAAAGGTTACAAATATAACCATTACATATGTGAATAAACCCCCTCCTATTATCAAGCTACTCGCATCCCCGCCCTTCTGCCGCTGCTGCTGCTGTTAACTTGAAGATCCTGCACATTAGGGATTGTTTAACATTATTAATGCTGTGAAAGCACTTCTGACCTGAAAATTTTGGCCAAAAAAAACCTAAAACTACTTGAAAATCAGTTATGAAAACTGAGTTCATCTTGAAATTGTCTACTCTAGTTAACTAGTTAGGAAACTCAATCCCCTGGTTCCTTCGCAAAGAAGTTAACCCAGCTTTGTACATTGCTGGACCCTCAATGCTTTCAAAAAAAGTACGATACCTAGCACTTCACGGGTAGTGTATGGGCGGCTGCTTTCAAATAGGGTATTAAAAAAACCAAATCTTGCAGAGCATGTTATGAAAGGAAAAAGTGTATACAACAATTGAGAAGTCCAAAACTGCACCTTGTCCTTGAGTATGGCAGATAAGAAGTGGATTCCAGCAATTTCTTTCACTCTCTGTAGCATTTGGGGCTTCGTAATCCTTTTTCCCTGTAAGTGAAAATACAGCAGTTGTATACCACAGTCTAAAGATGATCTCATACCATATTTTTAATTGGTTATACAAATACCCATTCTTGCCTTAAAATCTGTGTATTGTTTTTTGAGGTAAGCCATTCGTGATTGATCCAAATACCGAGAGAGTGTGCAAATCACTGTGTGGAACGTTATCCATGATGGCCTAGGCTCATGATTGTTGCCTCTTTGAACCCTAATTCATCAAGCACTCTTATTATGGGATAATACTAATGCATAAAAACAAATTAATAGTCACAATCACACTGTTGAATTTTAAAAAAAGTTTGCAATAAACTGCTTACCGCTTAAGTAAGGGACATCAAGACTGACGATGTAACAGAGGAAGACACTGAAATTCAAGCGAGAATTCCAAACGATATATTTTCTGGGAGCTGAGATATCATCTACGCCGGAATCGAACTCGGACGAGCTCGGATGAAACTGATCGGATGAATCTCCGATCACCACTTCTTGCTTCCCCAATATAACTCGGCATAACAACAAATGCCTCAATCCACTTTCATCAACCGTTGAACGCAACACACTGGAAAAAAATTAATTAGTTAATTAAATTAGCCTTCAGATAAACAAAATTGGGAATCCAGAAACTTGTACACAGCTTTTCGATTAAAAAGGCTAACCTGTCAAGCAGATGCTTGGCAGGAGACAGAGAGATGCTATGCGTATCGGCGGCGGCCTTCATACGCCAACTAAATCCATGCGTCACAATCTCGCGAATCTCATCTAAGGAAGCGCCGTACCAGGCATACTTGGGGTTAGCGCCTCCACCGCACTTATCAGCAACCGCCTTCATGGAAACGGCGAAACTGTGCGCTCGAATCTGCCATGACCGACTGTTGTTCATGTTCTTATGAATCGCCACGACTCTTGCTCTCTTATCCACCTGCAAATTCTGCGCTACGCTTGTTTCAATAATACAAGTCTCTAAGCTTGATTGATCTATCTTACAGAAGCCGTTTGCAACAAAGTGCTGGAAACAATTCGGATCTGAAACAATCTCGTTACTTCCAGACATAGCATCTGAGATTTCCGAAATTTCATCACTGCTCATAGTCTCAGAGACTTGATGTTCTTCTGCAACAACTTGATTCATCTTTCTTTCTAAGAAGGTATAATCACACAGGAAGAAGACTGAAGATAAAATATCACAGATGTGGATGAAGCTGCTGTTGGCGTTGCGTATTGTATTTATAGATTCAAAGTTTGAATTTTAACCGACCCTTTTGTGTTTTTGAAATATTTTTTTTAAATCAATTTAAAAATTGTCTCTGAAAAATAAAGATAAATAAAACACACAAGTGCCGTGGACCGCCGTGGCTAAAATCTTGTGCAATCGTGTCGGTTAAGCATCCTGTAGACACGTTTCGGAATTTTAATAAATTGAATTAATCCTAAAACTTAGATTAGGAAAATAAGAAATTAACCCAAAAAAATAATCTTTCCAAGTAGGTTTGAGTTCATTGTACCTTGTCATGCACGACAGAACCAAAAGTTGTGTAACAATTGTTTTTCTAAAATTTTAAATTATTATTGATAATTTATTTGATCTCTTAGAAAATATTAAGTCCATCCCTCGTAAAATTTTGTTTCGTCTTGCTCACATCAAGATTATGTGTTTAGGAACAAACCTTTTCACTATTTTTCTTATAAATTTTAATTATATAATACATATATAATATGATAAAATTAATTATTATAATGTATAAATACAATTATAAATATAATTAGTATATTTGAAGTTCTAGATAAAATTTAACTATAATAAATTAAAATTAAAATAAATTTAAAGTAAAATATTATAAATAATAATTATATCAAATAAAAAAATTAAATTTGTAAATTTAAATTCTAATAAATTCAATCTCTACCAGAAACACTAAGAGTTCATTTTTTGTTGGTATTATTATTAGAGTAAACTACTTGTACAATCACTTAATTTTTCAATTAAACTAGCTTGATTATAAGAAATAATATGCATTTTAAATAATCTCAACCATTTAATAATGAACATTCAAATACTTTGCAGTAATTGATGCTCTAACCCGAGATTTCTATGGATAACAATCATCCCTTTAATCACTTAAGTCGCATAGTTCGTGTTGTACGATGACTTAAGACTATTGAATTATAAATTTATCAATTAAATTATTTAATTATTTGAATGTTATTAATTAAACTATTTGTCGTTAACACTAATATTGATGAGATAGTTAAATAAATTTATATAACTACACATTTTATCTTTTTTTACTTATAAATTATATTAATTTAATTAAATTAATTTGATTCTCCAATCAAAAGTATATTATTACGGGAATGTCTAAGGAAAGACAGACTGATATAAGGCTAAGAAACGACGCAACTGAAAATTTGAAAAAAAAAACTTAACAAAATAGGTTTAACGCTACTAGAAATGTTGAATTATATCTAATATATTAAGTTGCAAGTATTTTAAAATAATTTAAAATGATGTAACCGAGAAACTTATCTTAGTAGTAAGAATCGATACTTCAAGATAAATATCGATATTTTTTTAAATTTATAACATTTCAAATCGCAGCATACTTTCCATATAGCAACTACTTTCTTCGTGAACCATAACATTATTGAGTGCAACTGAATTTCTTATAGATATTCATACCATATGTAGTTTTTAACTTATTTTGTTGTCGTGTGAATGACTAAGGCCACATCAGCTTAAAATCTAGTAACATTTTAAGTGCAACCTAAAATGTTAATTATATTGATAACATTGATAGTTTATAACTTATTTTCTTACCGTTTACAAGGGTAACATTTTCAATTGCAACCAATATTGTTATATAAACCGATTACTTTTTTTGTTTTGAATTATACCATTTTGTGTTCTAAATCGTTTATATCAATACTTTTTTTTTTCTCAAAGATCGATATTTTTGAATTTTAAAAACAAGAAAAATGAGAAGGCTGCAAAAGGATCGAACTTTTCACAAATATCAATACATGGGGAAAATATCGAGTAATTATAGATAACATAATTGGTTTAGGGAAAGACCATATTATTTGAATCAGGAAAAAAGGAGTTTTCTTTTCTAAAATCTGTTTTTCATCCGAGCAATAAAAATCGATACCACAGAGAAAGGGTGTGAACGAAACTGAAATCACAATTTGAAGAACATAAAGGTATGTTCGTGAAACCCTAGTTTGTACATTTTCCAATTAATGATTTTGGATTTAGGGATTAGGGTTTAAGGAAAAGTTATAATATTATGGATCGATTATTATTATATGTTGAATGAATGGAAAATAATTGGTTGTCTAACATTATAGGTTGGGGTTAGTAAGACATATAGAATGTAACATTATAGGTTGAATAGAAAAGATTGGGTTGTAGATAACATTATAGGCTGTAACATAAATTGTAATGAAATAGAGAAACTATTCCTTTGTACATAATCGGTTACTATAATAATCATGTGAAATTGAGATGTATTGTATTTATACATTACTTCATTGGTTTGCTTCAATATACATAATCAGTTATAAAGTAATCGGTTATCATAATCAGTTATTATATCAGATAAACTGTAATAAACATGTATTTCTCAAATGTATGTTGTCATAAATTAAAAAGAATAAAAAGATGGTATCACAGGGGCAAAAATTGTGGGAGGAAAAAAATGAATGATATGTCAATTATGGTTTAAGAAGATAACGTCGAAAAGGATCAAGAGATTATTGAGACAGAAGAAACGCAATAGCAACCAATGGTTGCATATATGCAATTTTAGTAAGTAAACATATATTTGTGTAATACTTGTTTGAATTTTTATTGATTAAAAGTATTTATGAAGTTCGTATTGATCATAAATTTGAAATTTTTATAGTTTGAGTTAATGTAAACGATTAAAGGAAGATGGAAATAAAAAGACAGTTTCATTATATAAATTGAATTGAGAAGGTTAATGTAAAAGATAACAGACATTGGCAATGCATCATTTTGATGTCAAATAAATATGTCTTAATCTCAATAAAAATAAAATAAGCATTAGTATAGAGAGAGTAAGGGTCAATCAACAGGGACTAGCGATAATATTGACAAAATTAGACTCCATAAATTCATCAACTGCAGGTTCAATAATATTGAAAAAAATTTAAACTATCGATATTATCAAGATGTCGCATCACTTTGTATATGTCGAATTTCATGACATCACCGTCAAATTCCATCGTAAGAATTATGCTTCTTACGTCAATCTTCGTATGTGTCCTACTAAGGAATGAGCGCCCAATGAGAATTTTAGAAGCAGTATTTGTCCGGTCATTTTCTGTAATGCCCCAAATACCGATTTAGGTATTATATTGAAATGAATAAAAAAATATGAGGATTTATTTTATTAAATAATGAAAGATGAGAAAGACTAGGATTAATGGTTTAGACTCAATTGTGATAATGGATTATTAAGGGGGCATTCTAGTCTTTTAAAGGAAAGAGAAATTTAAATGTATTTTAAATTTGGTATTAAAGATAAGGGAAAAGGGGATTACGTTGAAAAAAAAAGTTCTCTTTCTTCTTCCTCCTCTTTCCCCATAGAAGAGTTCCCTCATAAGCTCAAAGGTAAGTTTTCAATTTAATGGTTTATTCATTCAATTTTTGCTAGTTATTGAATCCTTGTATATGATGGAAGCTTAATAAAGGTTTAGATTGGATTAAAACAATGAGATGAGGGAAATAAAAGAGATTTTAGAAAATGGGTTTTATAATGATATGTTAATATATGAAGTTTTATTAATGTTTGTTTGTAAAATTGACTTGTCAATAAGGTAAATGAAAGATTAGAAGCATTGGTTAAGTGAAATAACAAGTCAGAAATTGTGGTGTGATTCTTAGAATAAAATGTTCTTGAGGAATATTAGATGTTTTAAATATCTAAATGAAGGAAAGTTAGTAGGGTTAAGTAGAGAAGTGTTATATAATATTGTTAGGGGTAAATGGGAGGAAAATTTGCTAAAGTTGGGTAAGTTTCGGGTTGAAAACTAGAAAATCTGGGCAGGACAGTACCGATACCATAGGTAAAAATTGGGTTAAACTATATGAGAAGTATTGATACTGATTCAATCATTATCGGTACCGAACGATGTAGTATCGATACCATAGTAAGGGTATCGATACCAGGAAACATCGAACCTAATTTTGGTATTGATGTCGGATGGGGGTATCTATACCATAATATAATAGTATCGATACCATGGTGAGAGTATCGATACCAGGCTACATCGAAGCTAATTTTGGTATCGATACTGGAAGGGGGTATCGATACCATATTAGGGTAGTATCGATACCATAGTAGGGGTATCGATACTGAAGATCCAGAAATTTTAAGTTGGGATGATATTGTTGTAGAAAAGTTAATAATAAGTATTTTGATTAATGTTAAGTTATAATTGTTAGGAAAAACACTAACAATTGATATTATGCGTGTATTTAATGAATGTGTGATAGATCGAAATTAATCTCCTGAGTCGAGTAAGACAAAAGGCAATAGCCAAGTTTCGGAGTAATTGTCTTCTCATTTTGGATATCTAAGCAAGGCGAGCCAGGTGAGTGCATTTAATTATGTACGTATATGTTGTAATAGTCATAATGGTATGATTTATTAATGTATGTATGGTAATTACTGAATGGCACTTTGTGTGCTAAAATGGTAAGGAAATCATACTAAGTGTATGAATTTCCAGATAGGGCACTTTGTGTGCTAAAATGGTAAGGAAATCATACTAAGTGTATGAATTTCCAGATAGGGCACTTTGTGTACTAAAATGGTAAGGAAATCATACTAAGTGTATGAATTTTTAGATAGGGAACTTTGTGTGCTAAAATGGTAAGGAAATCATACTAAGTGTATGAATTTCCAGATTGGACACTTTGTGTGCTAAAATGGTAAGGAAATCATACTAAGTGTATGAATTTCCAGATAGGGCACTTTGTGTGCTAAAATGATAGGGAAATCATACTAAGTGTATGAATTTCCAGATAGGCCACTTTGTGTGCTAAAATGATAGGGAAATCATACTAAGTGTAAGAATTTCCAGATAGGGCACTTTGTGTGCTAAAATGATAAGGAAATCATAATAATTATATGAAT